AAAACACTAGAATCAGCAGTAAACCTGTTATCAGGAAAGGAATGATGCTGTGGGTCCCACTCTTTGAAATAAATTTCTTTAGCACGCTGCATATAAAGGACAAAGTTAAAAGATATCACAGGAAAAGTCAGAAAGAACTATTTTTTGAAGAGGCATCAGATTAAAGAAGTGCTTGGATGGGCAGCTCTCCAACCTCATTCCCTCCTTCTTGAAGAGCAGAAACTTCCTGTGAAGTAAATTTGGCCATGGATATAGACTTTACGCGGTGTGTGAACTCTCGACTGAAAAATATAGTTGTGAGGTCAGCAGAGAAGCAATGAAGAATAGTATGTCATCCAAGATATTCGGCAAAAGACTCATTATCAAACATATATATTTTTAATAATCTTCATGATCATAGATAGGTGCATGCCAATCAAGAAAGAGAACCAGTGACCAACAAAATAAAAAATAACTAAAAGGAGTTGACAAGAAACACTTACTGTATTCCGCTACAATTTGTACATATGAATGTCCAGAAATTTGTGCATACATATTGAGGCCCCTGTCGATGAGAAGTAAATTAACATAGGCCATCTTCCATAACAAAGGTCATCTCACTTAAAATCCCAACTCTAAGCAATGCAACTTAAAGGTGTATGAGCTAGATGATAAAGAAGTCACAAAGCAACAACAAACTAGTCTTGGTAATCTGCAATATTCAGTCATTCTTCATGTAGTTGTTCTGTTACGCAAATTACTATGACCATATTCAAACACCAGCCATCACTATATGATTAAAAGTCCCTAGGGACATTTGTGACACACGACACATTTTGAAGAGATACGAGATACATTTTTCATTTATGAAAAAGGACTAAATCACCCCACGCACTCTCATCCCCATCTTTTATTATTTCCCTCGAAAAGAGAAGCACAGGATGAAGTACTTGGTCGATACACTTGCCACACATGAATGTTTGTATTATAAGAACAAAAAAATAGCATCCATGAAGAAGGCCAAAATATATTGCAGAACAACAAGAAGAACCTCCAGAATCATATAGATTACTTTAAGACAGTTATGGAGTGATTTTTATATAGATAAGCATACATCAAAAATACTCATGGAAATGGAGTATATTACTTTGAAACAAGATGGTGTGGCAAAAGACTAACATAAAGTAAACATAAAATAAGTAAAACAAACAAAGTTGTCACATGGAAATGGAGTTTCTCCTCTCTGTTCCAGCTGAATACAACTGAAAACTGTGAAAGAAGACTAACATAAAGTAAATATAGAATAAGTAAAACAAACAAAGTTGTCACATGTGTCACTAGAGTCGAAGAAAATGTAATGATCAGATAGAATTTTAGTACTAGAATCGTTCCTGTTAAAAGTTTCATTTGTGACCAGTCATGTACTAGAATTTTAGTTTCTCCTCTCTGTTCCAGCCGAATACAAAAGTTCCCAAGCAGACAAAAGGGGGAGGTGGCAAGCAAAGCACATGAGACGCCCATCTGGTAAACTATAAAAAAGATGAAGAAAATCAAGGTACATCTGTCAATTTGAGTGATGCTACTCAAGGCGGAAAAGAGAAATATAGCTGGCATAGAATTTAATTTTTTACGGAATTTAGTGTGTCATGTGTCTCTCACTCCAAAAAGTTCTCAAGGAGGCTATAGTTTTACAAAGTATCATTTGGAACCTATATCTTTTTCGTTTTTTTTTCAATCTCTCTGTATGTCTGGTTGATGCCCCATGCGTTACTGAACCTACAAGTAAAACGAGAAAGGGTCGCCAACAAATGCTGAAGGAACCAGAACAACTAAATTTTAGATATATCTACATATAGTATGTTAAATCGGCAGAATTAACCTAATTCAACGACATGAAAAAGGAGGAGAAGTTGAGATCTGGCTAGGGTAGTTGGGGTGACGAAGAAATAATGAAAAAGAGATACTGATAAGAAGTAATACCAGACTATTGCAGTTGATGCATCTCCGATTTGCAGGAAGCTTCAGGAGCCCGCGGATGATCCTTTCGTTCTTCTCATCCTCCCTCACCCGACTCGCCATCGGAATCCCCCTTTTCCTTGCTCCCTCTAGAAGCGACCCAAGTCCAAGAAGAGGTATAGTCAAGTAACGGAAAGAAAGAGCAGCCCGGAAGTCCCAAAGAAACTGAGGGGCTATGCTAAGACTCCTCAAGATCTGCAGCCTAGCCAGACGGAAAAGGGAGGCACAGAAAGAAAGCAAGAAAGGTCAAAGTGTGAGCAGCAAAGAAACCTTTTTTGTCGTCACTTTATCCTTTTTTTTTGCTCTCGATTAGGGCTTAGGATAGAGAAGAAACTTGGACTCTCGCGAGAGCAGCAGTTACTAGAATATGGCGAAAGAATTGGAACCGGGAGAGGGGGCACGGATGACGGAGAATCAGCCGCATCGATCGATCTGTCCAGATTCGGGGATTTTTTGTTGCTTCTGCTTCCCTTCGGATGGGGCTGCTGCTACTGCCGCTGCTGCTGAAGATGGATATATAGTTAATCGATGATAATAATAATAACAGTAATAGTAATAGTAACCGAGAAGGAAAAAGGAAGAAGAGAGAGAGGATCGCAAGAATCCTCGTTGACCTCCGCTTCGGATGTCATTTGAAAGGGAGGAAGACGGTCTTCCCTTCCGTCTCTCTGGATTGGAGCAAAATGTTTCGCAGGTGGGCGACGGGCGCCTTTGGCGGCCCAAGCTGCGTTCACGCCCCCGCATTTGTCCTTGAGAACGCCCTGAATTTACACATACGCCACCAGCGCATTTAAGTTTATCGCCACCTTTGGCGGCCCAAGCTGCGTTCACGCCCCCGCATTTGTCCTTGAGAACGCCCTAAATTTACACATACGCCACCAGCGCATTTAAGTTCCATCGCCACCTTTGGCGGCCCAAGCTGCGTTCACGCCCCCGCATTTGTCCTTGAGAACGCCCTGAATTTACACATACGCCACCAGCGCATTTAAGTTTATCGCCACCTTTGGCGGCCCAAGCTGCGTTCACGCCCCCGCATTTGTCCTTGAGAACGCCCTAAATTTACACATACGCCACCAGCGCATTTAAGTTCCATCGCCACCTTTGGCGGCCCAAGCTGCGTTGACGCCCCCGCATTTGTCCTTTAGAACGCCCTGAATTTACACATATGCCACCAGCTCATTTAAGTTTATCGCCACGTTCCCGTTCTACCGAATCGGAAGTGGAGCTCCTGACCATCCGCTGTCATAATTGGCAATCTGATTCTGTCGGCAGGTGCATGACCCGTAAGAGTTGCTACATCATCAAAAGTATCCTCGATCCGCTTGTTTATCATGGATCCCCTACCTGTCAATCTGCGCTGTTGCTGCACAGAACATCTGCGCTGGAGAGATGTTTGTTGATCGAGTACAAGAAACATGATCGATACATTTCCATTCTCCGTCACCCTGCGGCTAATGCGCATAGCATAGGCTGGCTCTTCTTCTGCAGCGGTGTTTCAAGGAAATTGCGGCGTGCTAGATAGATACATTTCCTTTCTCTTGCGCGTTGCTTTCTCTATGATCACTCCTGCTTACCATCTATCTCAAACTTAATTGTGCTTACCTCAGTTTCTTCCTGCTCTGTTTTTTCGGAAAATGATTCCCTCTTCCTATAGTTAAGTCCACCGGAAGAGGTTCTCCCCGTTGGTTTTCTGCCAGGTTGGGAATCGAAGCACCGAATTGCATTTTTATGTTTGCTGTTAAGTACTATTCGTTCCTTAAAGAATTCTTCCCCCCACCACCACACACGATCATGACCTCGACTTGGGTTTTTGTCCGGCTGCATGGGATCGATGTTCACGAGCCGCCCCAGCAACGCCATTAACGATTAGAAATCAAACAGTATTCTTCTTGTATTGCTAAGTGTTAATACCCGGTCACGACTCATCACGACCATCCTCGAAGAGGGGTAGCAAATGTTTCCGAACTAGTGGCGGCCTTGTTCGGCCTTACCATCAGCTCTTCTCGGGCCAAGAACGGAAACCAAGGAACAGATGCTGCATGCAGGGTGTACACTTCTTTCCACGTCCATCTCTCTCTCTCTCTCCTGATGCCTGATGGTAGGATTTCCCTGTTGATAACTATCTACAGTTGCATGCAGGCATTTATACTTCGTCCGCATCTGATCCGGAGAACATTGTGGCTGTTAAGCATGCCAATATATCAAGCTCTGCTATTCACTCCGAAAATTACAAGTCATCTCGAGTGCCGGGCCTTTTTGTTGGTCTGCTAATTCCGCGTATACTGACGGCCCTTATCAACCAATGATTCCTCTCACTGCCTGCTGCAGGTCTCATGTTTGAGCTATGGTGACACAGAAAGTCGAAGAACCCTGGACCATTCAACGTACTATGCGCATCTATGATGAATGCAGTAATAGTTTCAGATACGCAATGCGGGAGCCGGCGAGAGACCCGAGCAGGAGAGGACAACAAACAGGCTTAGCAGCATTGCGGACATGAAGCAACCCATCATCAGGCTACGCAGGCCTGCAGTGCGCCTGCTTAACGATGGTTCTCGTCAATCCGGAGTGACATATGGTCTGTCAGAACAATTTTTACTGATGCGGCAAGTCAAAGCTCGCATGCAATCATTCCTACGAGAACGTACCATATGACATGAGCTACTCTGACCTTGGTTTTCCCACCTTAAGCATCCATCCTCATCTAACTCACCTATAAATAAGTATTTCGACAAGAGTTTCCCACATCACTTCGGGTAAAAGCTTGTCTATTTTTCTCGGTCTGCCGGTCGTCCTTTCAGGCATTGGTCACATGGGGGTTGCAACCACTTGACTTCTGTCGACCAAAATCTTGACTTCAACGTCCTGTCGCACTGAGCTGGTCAACTGGCGATGACCAACCAGAGGTAACCAAATCTATCTTCTGGGTAACTGGACCAGTCTGATTTAACGATTGATGTTGAAGTTTTGGTACATCGATCAAGCGAGGCTACACTTGGCTAGCTTCGTTATAAGTCCAGCTCTCCCAAGGTTACTCGGCAGCGAGTGAATTCAGCATGGTTGATGCTTGGAAATTTTCAGCTGGTTCTTCCAAGCTCCTTGGGAGTTGCGGTGGTTGTAGCTCCGGCCGAACGGAGAGATCAGGATGGAAGATAATAATGGATTGTTTCTCTCTTGCAGTCTCTCCGAACTCATGTGTTTGCGTGAAGACACAGGAAGAAGAGGATGGCCTCGAGAGGAAGTCTCTCATAAAAAGCCATGTGGAACAGGTGCTAAAGATCAAAGATGTTCTTGATGGTGCCAAGACACTGGCTTTTCATCTGGAGCCGAAGGTAGTCCTTGAAGCATTCTTACCTCCATATTCTAATGAGATTTCCTTGGGTTGTTTAATGGCTGAACTCGGTTGTTCTGAAATCTGGCATATTGCTATATCCATATAATGTGTGAATTCTGCAGACTGTAGTTCTGAAGGTGTCGATGCACTGCAATGGTTGCGCAAGAAAAATTGAAAAGCACATCTCGAAGATGGAAGGTATAGATGAATTTTGCAGTTTGCTCATCGTTTATGTTCATTAACGTCAGGAAAAATAAGCAAAAAAATAATGTGTCTTGCTCCGCACATACAGTTCTCAGATCGAACGAATACCCTTTCAACACAGTCTTTTCTATGGTTCAGAGACGAAAACTCTTCAAATACACACCAGCATGTCACACCATATATCGTCTTTATGATTTCTACTCGACTTGCTATTCTATAATTATGCCTCTGACTGCAATTCCATCGATATGCATAAATCTTCCGAAAAATTAGCAGGCTTGTAATCGGGGACTGACTTCCCATCATCGCATGCTAAGAAGCATTAGCTCTTTCCGAGTCTCCTTAGCTCATATCTAGAATTTGTCTCTTCTGGAATGAACTAGTGCTACCATTCAGATTCCTTCTCCTACTATTCTTGTTGATGCCGAGGCTGATGGGATTTTTCATCAGCTAAAAGAACTCTTCGCATTTACTTTATCCCGACATGGATGGATAATATTCAAAGCAACGATTAAGCAAGAGCGACGTTTCCCACCGTCCTCCTGTGGCGTAATCGTTGCCTCGAAGTGCATGACAGCACATGGGGCCATTGTTAGGATGGGGATGAATTCATGGAAGATCGAGACGATGAACCATCGGGAGGCAAGAAATAGAGAGATCTGTTTGGGTGACCACGTATGAACGTGTAGTTGTTGTCTGAGCAAGCTTTCATTCGGTTCATATCTGTACTAATTTCACTGGCAATGACGGTGCGAAATTTAGTCGGCATCATGTAAGAGAAGAAAAAGGAAGCGCTGAATCACCATGATCTGCCTCATTCGATCGACTCTGTTTCTGTAGGAGTGAGCTCCTTCAAAGTGGACTTGGAAAAGAAGAAGGTGGTCGTGGTCGGGGACATCACTCCATTTGAGGTGCTGGAGAGTGTATCCAAGGTCAAATTTGCCGAGCTGTGGTTGGCCTGAGCTACAGTTGTTGCTCAAAGAACACGTACTGTTGTATTGGTTGATGCAGTTTCTGGAAAGAAAAGACAAGGATTGGACTGGTGCAGGTGATTTATTAGCAAGAGCCAGGCACTCATGTGCAACCCTGCGTTTGGCTGGCTCTTTTTCCACTTCAACTCAGATATTATAAGCCCTCAGACCAATTATCATAACCCATTAACTTGTTTGAAACCAAAACATTATCAAAAATACCCAGGCACAAGTTAATAGTAATATAACAGTCTAGTTTTTGACTGAAAAAAAGGTGTTACACCTATCATCAAAAGTGTTCCACAAAAGCATGCATCGCATGCTGATGGGTTAGCAAAGAACATTGAGAAATATTTCCAAAACTGTGATAAGACAAAACCATAAGTGAGCAAGCGAGGGATAAGGAAATTGGCCCATGCTCATAATAAATAGCATATGTGCCCAAAATGCTTGAGATTACTCTCACAAGCATTGCCTTCACACAGCAACAACTTCTAGCACAGTAATTAGAGGAGATGACACAAGGAGAGAGAGAGAGAGAGAGAGAGAGAGAGAGATAAAATACTTGGGCAGAATGAACACCTTTCAACCTATTCCTTCTCATTTTCCCCAAACCATTTCCGATCCTTCAACTACGTAAGAGCAGCAGCAATTGGTGGAGCAATTACAGGTACCACCAGGACTGTTGTGTTTCTAGTTACCGGATGGAAGGCAGTGCTAGTCTCCATATGCTCCCAGATCAATCTCCGTTTCTCCTCCATTGTCTTTTGCTTCTTTTCCTTCTCCTCAAATTTCTTTTTGCAAGCCAAAACTAGCTCTTCATCCATTTCAGAGAACATTTTCTTCACATATTGTGTTAAATTCAGAACTGTTTGATTCCAGTGACTCTGGAGGTTCCTCTCTAAAGCTGGCAAAACCAGAGGCATGATTGCTTGCCGGTTTTGTGCCATCAGATTAATCACATGATTATTATTCCACAAGAACAGGGCCCTCTCTGCAACCTGAAAACCATTTAACATCTCTTCAAATTATTGACGATGGAAAAAAAATAAAAATAAGAATAAAGGTCGCTGCAAGAAAAGTAATGAATTTCAGTGCCAGGATCAGATCAAGACAAATAGAGTCATATTCGAGAACCACTTTGTCTGATAGAAAGGGTAGCTACATATACATCACTCCTCATTGATGTGCAATAAGATAACACCCATTGATGAGGCCTCAGCACTTAAAACTTACACACGATTCAAATGGTAATAACAATTATTATAGTGCATTATTTATTGTTTGCTAACCACAAAAATGGAAATAATAAATTACTATGCTCATCTATATCCAAATCTACATACAAATTAGGTAATCACATAGAAGAAAAACAAACTGGAAATATTTGATTGAGTAAACCATTGAAGAACCCTTTCTGTTAATAATACAGATTTATCATAGAGGCCACTAGAAACTGCTTTGCAACATAGCGTTAGCATATTCTTAAAGAGAATACTATTAAATATCGAAGCAAAACAAACAAGAAAAGGAGAACATGATAATGGGGGAAACAAAGAAAAAAAGGCATGATACAACTCTAGCTGACACAACGATCTAAAAGAAATGATAAGGAATAATTATAAACTAGGATTTGCATAAATTTAGGTATATAGAGAAATGTGAAAATATAAACCTCAATTTCATCGTAGAGTTGCCTTTTTACAACTTACGTTTCAAATGCTCAAGCCATCAAAATAATTTCTTTCCTTGCAAGGGTATACCTATTTACATTGATCCCCCATACCACACATTTGTAATGAACTCGTGTACTAGATCATGTTTCTCTTTAAGATAACTGTGAAAATATGCATGTGCCTGTTCATATAAATCTCACATTGAATATGCAATTACTTTCGGCTGAACCTTTAGATGTGAAATATAGGTTCTTTCCAAGAATTTTCAGACGAATAACTAACTAAAATGATCTTAACCACTATATGATTGAATACACAAAATCAAATCACATATTTTAGTTAATAGAACAAACACACAAAAAGTTTGAGAAAATCTCTGCTCTTACTGGAAAAAAAGAGACATTTGGTGCTATTTCTTTGAATATTGTAACTGCTGCATTGTGCTTGTCAGTCTTGTCTTAATCCAGTCTTGAAACTGCTCTACACAACAACAACTGACAACAAGCTTTATTGCCCAACTATTTGGGGTCAAAAACATGGATCATTTTCCCACCATTGAGCAAAGGAACCAAGTCCAATCTATAACCTAAATAAAGAAAAGACTATGGGGCCTGCGATTGACATGATTTCTCTTAGAATGAATATAAAGTGCTAGACGCATTAAATATTCTCTTTCTTTTTGGAACTTGAATGAACATGGGTCTACTAGTTTCATAGTTCTAACTCATATCCATGATTATGTGTCACACTCGAGCAGTGATCAAAGAAGGTCCACACAGAAAACAAGTAATCCCAATAATTTTTGGTCCTTGATCATCAAATGGCGAGTGTAACACCATTAACTTTCAGTATGCCATTAGAAGCCCCACATACATCACCACTGAAATATAACTTCCATGTTTCAAGAACATACAAATTAGCCAGAGCATCAGAAGCTTGACTTAATCCATAACTAAGAGCATTCAGAGGAACATGCAAGGGGTGGCGCTTGTTTGCAGAATTTTACTACAATAAGCAAAAAAAAAAAGGTGACTGACAAGAGTCACAAGACTGTAATGTCAACCAAAAACCAACAGATCTTTCAAATTACCCCAGAAAGTTCACATCATGATTCAGAGATGATGAGCCGAATGAACATGCACATATCCAGACAGCACAATGACATATTCTTTTTAGCCAAGAAACAAAAGGAAAACCCAACAAAATATAATCATCATCATCGTCGTCAACGATATGGTAACCATAAGTGAAGATTGCATGCTCTGCCAGAAATTCAACAAAATTCTACAAGATTAATTTATTTATTTATTAACCCTAACAAGATGGAGTGGACCCTAAGAAATTATTTTGGAGCAGAGAAAATACATGAGAACTTACAGATAAAATATCAAGCTTTCAAAATTGTACTTTAAGCTTGTGCAATTAGGAAGCAAACCCAAAAAGGCTTCCATGGACAATAAAGGAGGCCTAGATAGAAACAATCATTATTACCTGGAAGTGGGAGCTGTTGATGCAGAAACCAATCCTCCGAAACAATGGGATCATACAGCCTTGGAGTTCTGCCGTGTTAGTAGCCTCCAAGATTTCCTCCAACTCACTCAGAAACATAACTTCCTTTTGACTACTTGTGACTGGCCAATATCTCAACAACCCTTTAATTACTGAACTTGCCAGCTTAGGCTCTTTCTCTATGAACTGTGTGACACAGTAAGTTAGCTGTTGTTGATAAACGCCTAATGTTTTTGGTTTGTGCAGAGGCATCACGACCCTCCACAACAATAATTTGTGCTCCTCCTTAAGAGGCTGTGCAAATCCACTGATCACACTGCCAAAAACTTCTAAAATCTCCACAATCCCATTATGGCGGTCTGTCTCAAACACAAAACGGTAGAATATGTTGCTCACTGCTTTTCGGATGAAAGGGCGATGCACCATAAATTTTCCATAGATCCTATGCAATATTGTTTTCAAACAATCCCTCTCTCTGGGATCCTCGGAATCAAAGAGGTCAAGCAGTCTCATGACAAATGAATGATCTATATATTTCTTTCCTATTTTACTATCAAGGTATGAGGACTCTATAAACTTTTGAAGTAAATCATAGACAAGTTGCAGATGGGTCCAAGCAGAATCGTACACTGGCACTTCCTCTTCAGCCTCCCCACCACCATTACCGGATCGCGTGTTTGGAGGGAAGGCCCTAAACAAGTTAATGGCGATCATTTTACAGCTAGCAGAAATGACAGGTTCAGTGAACCGAGAAGTCCCAGCATCAACATAACCAATGAGATCTAACAGCACCTGCCGCTTCATATCCTTCTCAGTGGAGTTCTTGTTTGGATCAGAGAAATCGAAGACAAGGCAGCAGAAGTTTAATTTACTGATGAAAAGGTTCTGTTTTTCCGCATTAGGGACATCTTTGAATAACAGTAGAGGTTCGGCGCTAGTGACAACATTCGATGGGAAGATAGCAGAAGCAGTCCGCTTCATAGTGGTAGATCGGGAGGAAACCACATTGTCACTGTTAGTCCGATGGATTGAGTTCCCGTTCACGGAACCCGTCCCGTTGTTGCCGGGCGGGAGATGAGTGAGATCCAAAGAAGCATCGGATTGGAAAGACTTGTGAGGTAATTTACTCAGGAACTGCTTCCACATGGTGCCAAAATAGTGGAGGCGCTTAGATCAAGCTCTTGCTGCGGGAGTTGGGCGACAAGAATGGCATGCACGGAATCTAAAATACCGATGCCACTTGAGGACTTGAATGTGGAAAGATTCGACACATCAACAACGATAATTCTTGGTGGAAATGAAATAGGAAACTGACATTATTAGATGCGATTGATCTAGAAAACTACTACTCCTCCCTGAAGCCCTAAGATGAGACGTGGAGACTATGAAGGAGAAAAACACAGTGGCGAACAAACTAACAGAAGCCTACGGGATACGATTCAGAACCAAGATCGAGCAGCAGAAACCATAATTGCCAACACAAACACAAACACAAAAACAAGACCAATCTTACGTCAAGCTGTGCTAACGAGAGTGAACCGACTCGAGATCTCCACCAGGGAACGCAGTCGGAAGAAGGGGGCCGAATGCAAGCCCTCGGAACCGCTGGAGCAAGATGATTTTAAGGTTCTTCCGGGTTCACGGATGTGAAGAGAAGAGCTGGATCCGAAGCTTGGTTCCGAGAGGCGGCGGCGAATTCCAGCAGGAACTCGAGAGATCAGATCCGGCTTCGATCTCTCCCACCCTCATTACAAGGGGGATGGATCCGCCGAAGAGGAGGAGGAGGAGGAGGAACCAAAAGCGGCAATAGAGAAAAATAAGAAAGAAAGAAAAAAAAAAAAAAAAAAGAATAGCAGCGCCGACCGGTGGCCCTCCCCTTGCCTCCGCCTCCGCCTCCGCCTCTTTCATGGTTCGAAGCATCTGAGCCGTCGGCACGAGATCCATTGGTCAAAATAAACTGAACCGTTGATTTTTGCGAGGATGGACCATCGACTTGATAATGCCGAAGACAAGAAGCAGAAGAAAAGGGCGGAAACTGCGAAACAGTTGATTTTTACTTTTATTTATTTATTTATTGGTTAGGCTTATTATTGTTGGAGTGTAAAACCGATAAACATCACTTTTTATATGAATTAAATAAAATATAATTTAATATCAAAATATTATAAATACTTTAACAGTTTAGACTAATCAAATTAATGATAGAATATTTAAAAAATCATGAGATAAGATTTACATAGAATAACTATTCAACGTGAAGGAAAAAAAAAAAGAATCGTATCAATCTTTCACTATAAAATGATAAAATTAAACGCACTCTCAACTAACAAGAGGATATTAAATATCTTACCCTTCACTTTAAACTCTTCAAACTCATCGATCGTAAAAAGGACTTAGATCGATACTCGTGATGATCAATCGATTTTTAAAATATGCAATATATATTGTTGCACCCTTACACGAAGGAAGCAACTAAGTCGATGATGAAGAATGTGATGAAGTATTGAAGAATCATATATAATATCATCAATAATTGAGCCAGAGATGATTTAGTTATTCAAATTACTTGAATCTAAATTATACTTTTCCACAACCCTTCACCCATAAACGGATGGTCAAATTGAAATAATAATTTTACTCTTTAAGTAATATTTTCAATATTACGTGAGTATCAATCAATGAGATTGAGTGAAATTGTTGGATATAACCTAATTCTCCTATAACTTGTGGTGAAACTCTACATCCAACAAGAGGCCATTTGAGATTATTATGAGATAGCAGTTGTCAACTCCTCGTGCCTTAATAATCGATTATATCAAGAGTAGCTTGTCAATATATCACTTTACAAAGAAATGATACTGAAACATAGATATTGACTTGACTTACTTAGAGAAGACGATCAAAAAGGTAAAAGAGTGGACAAACAAGAGTTTTAAGTCAGTAACTTGATGCTGGTGAAGCTCTAACCATCATCACTCAAGTTCTTTAGGCATAAAGTGCATAAAGGATTGATACATAAGTATGAATTGACCATTCCCAATTATCAATAGGGTAGGTAATATCTCTTATAAGTTGTAATTGTCAACGTTGCTTAAAATTTATAATGTCTTTCACGCGAGCAATTTGAAAAACTACCATTCAGATCCGTAAGATACTTCTCGAAGTATTTTAACTCAACTATCCCCTACTAGAACCTCAAATAAAAAGTGAGTTGAAGCTATTTTAACGGATCACAAGATAAAGCTACCCAACAGAGTAGAGCGGATCAAGTGATTGGTGAATTGGTGAAGGCTTCCTTAGACAAAAAGTCATAAAACACCCTACAACACGAAGAGGCAATCATTAGAGCTTACTAGCAAACGTTGACGATGGTGTTAACAGTTTAAGTGGCGGAGAATATCATGAATGATCATTTTGCACCTACAACATATTTTTTAATAGATCGTTTATCGCTTTTGTTTACTTATACATACGTTTGGTAGCGTGCTTTACCTTATTTTTATATGCTTTTACTTAAAAATTGTAAGTAGTAATAGTTTATAGGGCTACAGAGTGATCGTTCAATAGAATAGGCAAAATTATCCCAGAATGACTTAGTTTTTATATGTCATAGTCTATTTTCTACATGTTATAGAGCGAGTAAAACATCCGCTATCTCAGTACCTTAGAACTACTCAGGTAGCACAAGACTGGGTGGGAGTTTGGGATAGTATTGGGCTTTGATTAGATTTACAAGTTCATATGTTAAGCCTATAGAGACTTGCCAATATGTCCGACACATAATGAGCAGTCGTTTATAGACTTACGATTATTCGTTTACCTTCTAAAATCCATAGTTTCTCCTTTCTTTTCTCTCGTACATAAGTATTTGCTGAATTGCTTGAAAAGTTATCATATTTACGAGACGTTGGGACTTGTCGGTCACTCGTTCTTAGAACAAATCAATTTACACTTTTATCAATCATTCGAGACTTTAGCAAGGTTACAACTAGATCGACTCTTTTGTGAATGAATAATCAAGGATTTCTCGTGATTTAGACAATTCTAATTAAGTTCATAACAAAATGGTAGTGACATCAACATCTTCGTATGGTGGTGTGGAAGTGTACAAATATCATGGTCTGCAGTACCGGTCCGACAGGCTTCTGGTACGCGGACCATCTGTTACCGTTTCGACACTGTAGCACTGCTACAGTGCTACGACACGCCTAAATATACCGAGCGGTACACCTGGGTGTACCGCTCGGTATACCGTACCGTACCGGTACCGAGCCTAGGTCGAAACTCCGGTACGATACGGTATTGCGGACCTTGACAAATATATTAAAACATGCTATATATATATATATGTATTTACTATAACATGTATATGTGAGAGTACACTTATTTTCTATTACATGTGTGAGTATATGGATACGTTAAAACGTGCTATGTATGTATATACTACAACGTGCATTATAGAAGTACATGTATATGTTATGACTTATAGTGTGAGAATATATATATATATATATATATATATATATATATATATATATATATATATATATATATATATATATATATATATATATATATATATATATATATATATATTATGACAGGTAGTGTATGAGTGCATAAGTACTACCATAACGTGCTAATATGAGATATAGAAGTCTATGAATATATTACGATCCTATATATCCATATAAGTATTTTTGAGTTATTTTTATCTTTTTATTATACATATACTATGTTGCAAGAATATACTTGCTAAATAAATCACAAGATGAGATGTTTACTGTTAAGTGTCTTATGTGTATAATTTTAAAATATTATTTATATGATATGATACATGTTTAAAATTATAAATATTTATATTTATCGAATGATTACTCACTATATATTTTATTTTGTTGATAAGAATATTAATACCTTACCCAAATAATTGAGTAAGAAAGTAAATACGTACAAGTCTATACCAACATAGATACGAGCGAGCGATGACGTATAAGTATATTTATATATATAAATTTTAGATAGGTATGTTTTTTTAGTTAGATATAACAGATAAAGAAATATATCAAAATCGTTAGGTACAAAAAAAATTCTGTCATTCTGTTTAGGAAATTAGTATATTTTATTTAATTTTTTTTGTTATGCTGATAGTAATAATTAAATTAAAATATCATATTTAATTTTAATTTTAATTATACGTATGAAACTTAAATAGGGTATTACTGTGGCTGCTGAACATCGATGACCGTAGCCAGGACTCACCGTTGTCTCCGGGAGACGGCGCGTGAGCAGCACTCGGACTACCCCTTCTTCAGACCACATCTCCCATCTCAGTTAATCACATCCGCTGACGTCTTGCCGTAGAACGAACCCTAAGTCGCACCGAGAGATCTACTAGATCTATTCATCTTCCCCCTTGTTCTATTTGCAAGCAACATGCCAAGCTTTCCGCAGGCCGGAGCGGTGACCATCTGCGAGATTAATCGCGATCTCAGTACTAATCTCTGTTCTTATCGCATTCTATGTGCATTTGAAACTTGTCTTCGAGTAAGAAAATAATGTTTTCTGGTCCCTCCCCTTTTCTTATTCTTAGTTACTGCTGAAAACTTGTTCGATGATCGGGCGAAAGAAACTTATGGCAAAGTTCTGGTAAGTTCCTTTTGAAACAAACTCTTGAAATAAATATATCTTTCGTGAATCTTAGTTTTTTTCGCTTTTCTTAAACTACTGGTTGATTAGTAATGTGAGTGAAACGAAAGTAAAAAATAGTTTACGTGTTTTGTCTAACAGTATCATAAGCTCGTGGTAAAATAAATTATTGTATTAACTTTTCGCAGTCTGTATCTTACTATGAGCGGGATGAATTTTATTGTTAAGTTCATTTTGTGGTTGAATTTTCTAATTGATACTGGCCTTTCTAGGGAATGGTGTTCAGTCCTATTGCTTTCCAACCAGATCTTATGATGCCTGATACAGAGCAAGTTGCAGAACAAGAACTGAGCATTCCTGTTCCGACGAGGGGTTTTGCTGGTTTGAAAGTGAGCATCTCTGAGTCCATTAAGCGCATTTTCTGCCCAAATGAGGTAAGTTTGTTTCTCCGGTCTTGTTATTAGTTTATAAACAAGGCTATGATCATTCCAAATGCTTCGTGGGAAATAATTATCTTCTTCCTTTCTTTACAAATTGTGATTGTTATCTCACATACAAAAATATGTTGTTCTTATATTTCACTGGAATTATTTTCATTATAAGTACGTACACATACAAATAGTGATTGTTTCTCAAGTTTTTTTTTTCTTACTTTAACTCTTTGTATTTCTTTGTCTTCCTCTTTCACTCGCTTTCCTGCCATAAACTGCTGATATTTGTTCACGTGACTTGGGAGATGTCCATATTGGGACAAAGGACTTTGGTTCGCAGAAATAAGTGATTGAGCGATCTAACTTTGATCCTAGGTTCATTCCTGAAGAGATCTATCCATCTACATTACTTTAATGCCAAGATATTCACTCATAAAGCCTTTAGAAACAATAGTCTTAGATCTGTTTGCTCTTTGTACATAAGATTTGGAAGTTTTTCCACTATTTTAAGATTATTACAATTTAATTATTGCTCATGCCTTGAAAAAACAACTATAGATATATGCTGAGAGTTGAGTTAAAACTATCATTTGATAGCTTAGTATTTACCTGTTGAAGAGTTAGCTGTTCCATAAGCCTGTCGTCCATTTAGTTGTTTGTCCTATTTTCTTAATTTTTTAGATTGCTTTGAAGTTTTCATTGCATTTCAAGACGTTTGTACAGTGAAAAGCAATAATGTTATATCAGGAACGATTAATTCTGATTTGTGATTTTTTTTCTATATTCAAATATCATGTGATAAATCTAGTTTACATTAACTTTTACGCTATGAAACATGGTGAACGTTACATGTATCTCATAGGCATGTCAATCATATAACCTCCTAAACACATCTGTCCTTGTGGACCTCACCTTTCAACTTTAGTTTTTTTTCTTTTGTCTTAAAAAGGCTATTTTGTTCTTTTATGAACTGGATCTAAGATGATGGTCTTTTAAAGGTTGATACTAATGTTCTCTTGCCTCTTTGATTGTTTTTATAGTTGAATGCACTAGAAGAAGTTGATACTCAAAGAGTAAGTTGGCATCCACATAAGCATTGTTTAGCATTTGTATCTGGGCCAAGTCAAGTAACAATAAGGGATTATGAGGATTCAGGTAAGTCCTTTGAACTTCTTTATTTATGGGAAATATAAACTTAGTATGTTTCCTTGAGAAAATCAACTTCCATGTGACCAGATAGTAAAGATCCATGCATATTGACTAGTGATTTCCAAAGAGGCATCAAGACACTTGAATGGAGGCCAAACAGTGGCAAGATGCTCTCAGTTGCATGCAAGTAATATTATGGTTGCTTTGTGCTTGTTAACATTATTATATTGCATTACACTGTAAATATCTTGAATTTAAATTACTACAAATGTCTCTTCTCAGGGGTGGAATATGCATTTGGTCTGCTTCTTTCCCAGGCAATGCACCGTCTGTTAGATCTGGAGTTACCTCTTCTGTGAGTAGTGTTTCTAGAGGCTCTGGAATTCGATGGATCCTGGTAGATTTTCTTCAAAGCCCCAATGATGAACAAATAAATGTACTTTCTTGGAGTCCCAATGGAAGATATCCTTTTCACTTCTTTCAAACTTTGCAGCCAATTCTAGAACATCCTCAATGCACTTATTTCTCAAGGCCAAAAGCTCTCCGATGCACAATGCAATTTAATGTTGTAACCCTTCGTAGATGTTGTCGTATAATATTTTTGAATGAACCTTTTACCGACAATATAATCTTTGTATGTATGATATAATTTGTTCTGTTAAACAGTTTATTCTTGACATTATATTACATATTTGGCATCTTCTTCGGGTGATAGTTCAGCATTTACGGTATGGGATGTTTCTCAAGGTAAAGCTATTCAGTATCTTTTTTTTGTTATGTTTTTATATTGTTCTTATTTGGACTCACTTAATTGATTGCTTTCTTGTTATGCCAAGTGATTGATCTGTTAAAAGTATTCTGCTTCTTAGTATATAAGCAACTATAAGCTATTATCATGACGTGACATCTTTTCTTTTATTTCCTTAAATTGCTAACTATAAGTGAATACACATTTCTTAAAAGGATGTTCGAATATTTGTGGCTTCATTGTAGGGAAAAAAAGTGGGACAAATTTTTAATAATTTTGTTCGACATTGTATCTTGACTTGCTTCTTACGTAGAGTAAAAAAACTTTCTCCAATATTTCCTTATGGAAAATATTTATTTGTTAGCATTTTCATTTGGTTGTCATTGATAGTTGATACTGCCATGGGCTTGTTCAGTCGTCAAATCAGTATGCTTTCTGGTATCTAGATAAGGCATTGCATTAGCAGGTTAATTCTCCTCCCTCGTGGTCAGTGTCTTCTCTCCCTTCGCTTCGCTACAGTCGCCCCCCAACTTCCTCGACAACCTCCTCCCCCTTTTCCCCTCCCAACTGACAACAACCCACAATCACCCAACTGATAGCAACCCAATTGACAACAATCATACAACAACTACATTCGGTTTCCTAGGATGGTAATTGATTACACAATCATAATCTTTTGCTAATACAGGGTGATTCTCATAGGTTATTGACTCGAAGGAGGTATCCACTCTAATCCGAAGGCCTTGAGAGTTGGATTTTGAGAGGTCTAGAAGGATACACAGATAAGCAGATTTCCCCTCTTGTACCTGAGAGTGATGTCATCAAGTTTAAGCAATTTTTCTGAACAAGAATGTTTGGTTGCATAAACTCTAGTGGAAGCCTTGGGAAGTGTAAGTAAGTGGGAGCGAAAGTTATTTTTAGTATGGGAGGTTGGAATCAAAGTTGCCATGGGATTAAACATAGGGCTTGGCCCCTTAGAAACCATGGACCTCCAATGAGGGTTTGTAGTTTGTTCTATACATGATTTGGAAAAGAATCTAAAGTCGAAGACGCTCTCCATTGGGGAGGGCAGGGGGTGGAATGGCACTGGGGAGAGGAGGGAGGAGGAGCAGCTTTTATTCAGGAGTCAAGCACGATTTCAGTTGTGGCTTCTTAATCCTTAAACCTGTATATGTACTAAAACAACAGATGTCTACAGTAACAGCCCCTTTCAAAATGATATTTATGGTATTCAGTGTTCTTATTTGTTGTCTTTTTGTTTTCACTTAGAAATTGTTGCATTTGGTTGCTCCTGGTGGACAGAAACCAGTCTATTATTCTTGTGATTTTCATTTGGTTTTTGTTCCTATTCCAAAGAAATAACAATTACCATATCATAGACAATTCACATCTTTGGCTATATAAAAATGAATTCTCTTGAGAGATCAGCTATGAGGTGCTTTACTTGTGTCAGTCTTAACTTTGCATCAGGTTGTCAGATCAATTCATAATAAATGTTTTTTTTTTGTTTTCTAATGCTTCTAAACTTTGTATGTACAGGATTAGGAACTCCTATTCGACGAGGTTTAGGCACGATATCAATGCTGAAGTGGTCACCAAGTGGAGACTATTTTCTAACTGCTAAGTTGTATGCTCAAATTTTATCCTTTTTAAATTTTTGTTTGATTATATAAACAAGTTTGGTTTTTAGTTGACATTCATTTGAAAGTTTATTTCAATATTCTATGCAGCGATGGTACATTCTACCTATGGGAGACAAATACTTGGACATCAGAACCTTGGTCTTCAACTAGCGGATATGTCACAGTATGTAATTCAAAAATAATATTGTCCTCAGTTGGGTTCTATGAAAAAAAATTGTTGACTGCCCTTGTATAGTTTCTCCCCCCTCTTGGAATACAATGGTCAAGTTGCAAAACCTTAATGCTTATGAATTGTAAATGTTGTCATCCAGTATGATTATGCATTATGGCCACTTTAATCTTGAAATATAGTTTTTGTTCCTGTTTGTTTTTCTCCCTCTTCTGTTGGTCACTGTGGTTATTTCTCTAAAAGATTTGCATCTTTCTGTTTGTTGTTAAATTCTTTAGGGAGCTACATGGGATCCAGAAGGACGGATGATACTAATTTCATTCTCTGAATCAGTAACTTTAGGTTCAATTCACTTTGCATCAAGGCCTCCTTCATTGGGTATGTGATCTGGTTTTAATTAGAAGCTTATCTTATTTCTAACATGTATAATCTGCCATAGTCACAATAGGTTGTGTTTTCTGTTGTATGAAACTATGAATGATGAAACTAGTTTTCTTATAATTAACTTAACTGATCGTGTATGAACCTTTCTGCTGATTAATAATTGTCATACAGATGTTTTATCATTAAACAGGTCTCACATATGGAGCAGCATTATTAGCAAGGATGCTCCAGGAAGTGTTAAAACAAAAAATTCAATCTGTTGTCAATTTATTGTGAATGTTTTCGTCATAATCAACCTGCTTACACCTTGTTTATGATTTCTTAATGAACTAGTAGAAACATTAGTGATATTATCATATGTTAATGTATTAACTCATTATTCTCATAGTCATTTACATTGAATGATTGATGTTATTGTGTAGGTTTGATGTGACTGATCATCATCGATATATGCCTTAAAATGCATCTAAGAAATCTGTCCTGGATTGTAGTAGGAGGCATCCAGCTTCCTTGTAGGTCTCACCTTGCTTGTGATGAGGATAAGAAAATTAAAAGAAACCTTGGTTAGAAGCAAGGACCATTGTACCATGCTGGCCGGTGGTATTGGTCTAGGGACGGATCAGTATGAAAAAGGCAATAAAATGGCCAAAAAATCATAAATTCATAATCATTAACTTGATGGTATGTAACATAAGAACAATCAAACTCGGAAAAAAAAGAACAACTATTATCGTAAATCTATTGGCCTTAAAATCTTGCATAATACAAGGCTACAAATACGATGAGTTATTATCATCATAAAGGTTCTGTCATACGTGCTTAAAGTCATCGACTACCTAAAGTCATTGACTACCTAAAGTCATCGATTGTCTTCCCCTTTTCATAAATAATATGTGTGAATCCTCAAGCTTCGTGATCTGAATCTTGGGTGGCATACGTAAAGTGCTGCTACTTCATACATGCCCTATCATGAGTATATGACCCTTTATCCATGCCCCACCCTGAGGAGTAGATGGAACAATCAATACAACGACACTACTGTCTATGTGGAGCACAGAATCTGAGGGAGGTGTCTTATCACTAGACTGAAATTGTTGCTCGACAATTCTTTCTATTGAATTGGTTGATGATACTACCTTCGCTTTCTCTTCACACGCTAGACTGACGTTTGTGGTTGTTTGGTGCCACAGACCCTATGAGATTGACTCCTCAACGTGCGACCGTCACATTCTGACTGAGGGTGTTGTTCCTCCTTCTAGGATGTTCCTTTTCTTATATAGCCTTAGTGATGAAACGAGATGGATGTGGGGGTCGCCTACCTCATTAAGCAAATGATCCCCTAGGTTTTTTGTTGCCTCGACCCATTCCAATATTGGTTGATAATCTTTGTTATAGAACTAGAGGTCAAAAGAATCTATCTCTGGCTCCTCCAGTTCCTTGTTGAGATTGGCATATCACAACGCATAATGTAGTGCACATATACAAGCTTTCTCTAAGTGTCTATATAATAGCCGGTTTGTAGATCGCCATGTGAATCAAATCGAATGTTGACCAATTATGTTCATATCCTTTTGATGTTGTCATTTGTGAAAGCACATAGACTGCAATCTTTATTAGATTGGATGCGGACCTTGCAAATTGTAGCCACCACTTGGCTACAAAAAAAAAAAATGCAGCCACTTGGATTGGTACGCTGCCTCTTCCTATGTACCATCTGGAACGGAGCAGTCCATGTGTCGATCATTGAGTATGTTCCGCTTGTTTTGTAACATTTTGGTGGGAAGACAATCATTCATTAGAAGCAGTGAGAAATGAGTTTTAGTCTAATAGAAGATATTAATCTTGATAGAACTACACTACGTAGAAGTTTCCATGTCACCAATCAAACTAGATGTCTTGAATATTTCTTGTTATCTATGTTTCATGCACTTTGCATGTAATGATGAGTAGTAGTTAGATCGAAGAAATGTTGGTTAGAAGAGTGAGGTAGGACTAGAATCAAATCACCAAGTTCTTTTACATGTGTTTTATGAACTCTAGTTTAAACAACTAATAAAATATACTAACTTGAGATGTTATTTATGTATGTGATATATTTTATGTTTTTTGTTTTATATATCATATTTTTTCTATATCATTAATTCTTGTATTTATTATATATATAATATATGTTGTACTCCTTTTTATATGCCTTCTTTAATATTATTTCATACTTACATTATTTTATCCAAGGAATATTATATCACGTGTACTATATCTATATCGGTCCTTGAAGGACCCGCAAGTGCGGGTGTATCGACACATGACAAATAAGGGAGAAGAGGAAAACATAGTAGAGGAAGGAGGAAGGAAGAAAGAGGACGAGGAAGGAAGAAGTGATAGCGATGAAAGAAGAGGAAGGGAAGAAGGAAGACAAGGAAGCGGTGGGGGAAGAAAGAAGAAGAGAAAGCGATAGAGGAAGAGAAGAAGAGGAGGAAGCGTACCTTGGTGTATAGCAGCAGTGGTGGCAGTGTCAGATGGCAGCAGCTCAGGAGCAATTCCATGCCCCCTGCGAAAAGACTGCTCATGTTCGTGAACCCTAATGAAGCTTTAAGTTCTTTCTAAAATTTTTCTAATGGGTTAGATTGGATCACTTGAAAGGGGGGTTGTGCTCCTATCTATTTACCACACTCGTACTGCTATGTATCGCCCATCTAGTTTGATCCGATACAAAATGAAGAACCTTGATTTTATCTTTATATAATTATCTTATTTTATATCGATTTATCATGCCCAGACTAGCATGTACCATGTGTCTGGTTTGGTCTACTCTGATATGAAATGAAAAACCCTGATTTTATCTTTATTCCAAGGTTCGCCCTTTCGGGTACCAGACCCATCTCGAAGATTTGTCGGTATGGTACATACCGGTCTATACTGGTGTGTCAACATATGGTACGTTGGGACATGCCGACGAGGACTCAGGCTCGGTGGCGAGTCGTATTGGTACATACCAAATTTTTGTTTTAAGGGTAAACCAATTCTGTTTCATAATCATAATGGGGATAAGACTATTTTTTTTTCTAAACATCAACAATGTGATTCTCATTCTCATTCTTTGTCCACTTTCTGTGTTACCAATTGGATCCTCAAAGTTATCTTTGTTTTCGACTTGTTTGTGACATCAACAATGCTATTGTTTCAGGACAGTCTAATGAAAAAGAAGGTGAAATTATGTTCATTTCACTGGTGTGTTGGAGCTGTGAAAGTGGAAGCAAATGACCATCTTCAAAACTCTTTATTTGAAAGTTGATATTTGTGTAGATTGGAATTGATAGGACAATATAGTTCAACTTCATCTACTTGACTGTCAGAGGGAGATAAGAAAGGTGTAATAGCACTAATAGCGTCAGATATATGTGATAGTGTTAGACACCGAAGTTCTTGGAGAACCTAACTGATTAAATATGCTTTTCACGTAATGCAATAGTGTGATTGTAAGTTCAAAAAATAGTGCTAATCATAGAAATTTAGGTACTTGTGCTAGCATATACTGAGTTATACAAAGATATCATGGTATATGCACTTAGATGTTTTGTAGAATTCAAATTGGGAAGTATAAAATCTTTTGCTTTAGACAGAGCAGCTCTTTTGTTTGTTAAAGAAATTGCAATAACTGTACTATTGTATTGAATAGTTTTATATTCCTGATGCACATTTTGTTACCTATTTATTTGAGAAATATTGATCATCATGAATATATGGAACCTTCAATAGAAAGCTACTTGTCCAGTATCTATATCAGCACAGTTGTAATTTATAGTATCTTCTGATATAATCTTAGATCTAGCAGATTGATAACTATCTTGTTATTTCTGTGTCATTTGACCTCAGATGCACACCTTGTACCAGTGGAATTGCGAGAAATTGTCTCTTTGACTGGAAGGTAATGAAAGTTCACCACCTTATTGTATGTCATTCTTTTATATCTCGCAAGCTTCTAAATCTATCCAGACTTATATGAATCATAGTTAATCATTTAATGTAATTTCAGTATTATAATTAATCATTTAATATTGGTCATTGAATGTAATTAAACAATGGAACGAAATGAAAGATGTTTTACGCAAGGTTTGTTGTACCACAGTATACCGCTCAATACGGGCGGTATATACCGGTCCAACAGGGGATCAATATGGGTAGTATGTACCAGTCTGTCGATTCACCCCACTGTATCATGTGTTGGTACGTACCATACTGATGGCTAGTCAATACACTGGTCGGGATGGTAAGGCAAACCATGGTTTTACATTACTCCACTTGGTATAATTTATCCTAAAAAATTGAAACATCATGCATGATTCAATTGGAGGATGTCCAAATAAACATGCCCAACCTATGTCATGGGATCGAATCAAAATGATGGTGATACTAGGTTAAAGAATTACTTTCTAGTTGGCAATATGGTACTTCCAACATGAGAAATCAGGGTCTAACAAGTTTTTGAAAGAATTGGTGAATTTAATGGACAAAAATTTTTGCTGTAGGGAAACAAAACTACAAAGTAATCTATAAGTTTCATTTAGTGCTGGCTGCATGTTTGTTTGTTTGTGTTTTTGGCCACAGATGGCAACATCCATAATCAAACTAGAAACCACCAAATTCATGTTTCTGATAAAGTATATTTTTTCTTGATTAGTCTCTCCTTTCTCCATCAGTATAAATCAGTATGAATTAATTGCTAACTAAATTGTTAACTACACCTAACCAATGTTTTTAATTTTTTATAGATCTTCTTTAGGCATGACCAAACCACCTTAATTGGTACTTAATTTATTGTTAATAGAAACTACCTCTAATTGATGAATGCTGCCTCTTCTTTCGATGCTACCAAAGTTGCATTTTACACATTTAGTTTCAGTCCTACTTAGTTAAGAACCCTTGGTTCTTGTCTCAAATTTTCCTTTGTACAATTTATCCCAAGTTAATTGTATCAATCAAATAATGTCATCAGCACTTTAGGAACCCATGATTGGAGATGCTATCTGAGTATCATGAAGTTTTAAAGTAATTGCTTTTTGCAGGTGTTGAAACATGAAAAATATTAGAGGCAGTAATTCTTGTCCTGAATTGCGAACTGACTTGAAATTGACATGAAATTAGTGCCTTAGTGGATTCGAGTTGTGCTTTCTTGTGCTTTGGTCATGAACATGTTGGTTCTAAATTTCTAATCCAATTAGTACATATTTTTGGTTTGTGTTTAGGAAAATTACATGACTAACCTGATCAACCCAGCAATAATCAAGTTAAATGTGTTATTGTGACATTTTCAGGTTAGTGCATTACTGATGGTGCATTTCAATCTCATAAGTGGGTTGAGTCGTGTGTTTACATGGTTAATACTATTATCTGGTTATGAGTCATTTGATTCAAATCATGTTAGCCTCAGGCCTGAACAAATTATTAGACATGTTTGTGTTTCTGTTTGAATTTTTGACACTCGTCAAATGTGGGGTTTGAGTTGATAGTTCTATTGTTTCGTATGCATCTCAATATGCACAAACCTGATTTAACACCTTGGCGCCCTACGTAGTGCTGGGATTTGGTGAATCTTGTATCTAATTCCCATGATGTTTGAAATGGAACTGCTGGAATTTTTGACTCATGTGGGTGTCTGTGACGGAATACATTTTGTGGGAAATTTTACAAGAAAATGCAGATGTTTGGGTTCATAAGAAAATGCAGATGTTTGGGTTCATAATCATATCTTTCTGCCATATTGGTATCATATAACATCATTTGCTCAAAAGTGGAATAGTTTGGGAGGAAAAGATTCTAGGAAACTTATTGGGTTATGACATGATGGTGCAGAAATGAGTAGAAAGATTCCTGGAGAGATGAGGGTCGGATGGGTTGACATTTTGCTGCCGTTCTGAGGTATTAGACAGTGTAACCCTATTCAGCAGCACGGCATGGTAGCTTCTCTGCACTAACATCCCATACGAATTGCAACATTTATCATGTACTCCACAATAGACAGGTTCCATCCATGTGAAAGTGGGCTTGAGAGTTGATATATGGAGAACCTTGAAGGATAATTGCAATCACCAGCGGTTGGTAATATAAGTTTGTAGAAAGGGGACTTTGTTTTAATTACTATCGTTATCGTTCCTGTGAAATATGAAAATATAGCAAACTAAATCCTTAGAAGATGAACTCAATAAACCTTTGCATCTCTAGGTAAGGTGATGGACTGTTGAACTTTACTTATAATACAATGGTTAATATTGTGATGCATAAATAAATTACTTTTTACAAGGATGTGGACTTCGCCTATAATGCCGTACGAAAATTGATGCAAAGTAAAGCAAATGAATCATGACTGTCTGTTACATATAATTTGCATATTTCTAGTTCATGTTTTCCTATACATGTTATCTTGAGTATGTTATGCCAGTTATAGCATGTTATGCATTATTGGTTGATGCTCTATTTGTAATTTCTCAGTAGAGGCATTGAGAAGGTAACCTGGGATGCTTCAGGAGAACGCTTAGCTTTGTCATACAAAGATGGAGATGATATGTACAGTGGTCTGATTGCCATATATGACACTAAGAGGACACCTCTCGTCTCAGCATCATTAGTGTTAGCACTATCATTTTGCAGCAATATGCTTTTTCTCTTTATATGATATTTCATTCTTAAACCTGTAATAATATGCTCTAATGTTCACTAATGTATCATTTTCTTGTTAAATATAGTGGCTTCATTAGAGGACCAGGAGAAAAGCCAAAGTCACTTGCATTTGCCTTCCACAATAAGTTCAAGCAAGGGCCACTTCTATCTGTGGTAGGATATTGTAGTATTCCCCATTTGTCGCTCAAGAACATACTCTCTTTATCATATGCGTTGTATTATTATTGAATCTGTTAATTGCAGTGTTGGAGCAGTGGATGGTGTTGCACATATCCTCTCATATTTCGTTCTCATATCCTTCCTTAATTTAGGTAAAAAATCTGCCTGTCTATCAGCAGAAGTTCAAGCATTTGTGCAACTCAAAGGCATTGATAAACTCTCTAAATAGTTTGTTGCTCCATTAACTGGTATGACTAGTGGATTTGAGAGCTAAACATGAAGGTCTTTGTCAATGCATTTGCTGACAATGCCTTGCCGAGACCTAAAATTTGAATTAAGTCCATTGTTACATTAGTTTAGTCAATGTTATAGTTCAATTTGGGTTTTTCTCAGGTCTTGTTCAAGTCCAGAGAGTCAGATTTTAGTTTTTCCCCCATTCTTTCGGTCTCTCACATGAACTTTGTTTCATTTCCACAACATCCAAGTTCGTTATTTCTTGTTTAATCTGAGTTAAGTATAAAATTTTAGATTATGGTTTAAACCTTCATTCTATTTTTAAGATTATTTCGTGGTTCATCCAGGATACTATTTTAAACTTTTACCATAGGAGCCATATTTGTGCATCTACTGTGCTGCTTTTTGCATCAACGCCTAGCATCTGTTTTACTCTGTTATTTTTAATCCATAATAATCTTTTGCATACTGAAAGAAGACAAACCATCTAGACCTGAGCATGCCAACTAGACCTTTGTGCAGATAACTATGGCATGCTAACAGGTAACTTATTGTTATTGAAAATAATGGCGAGGCTTGGTTCTTCTCCTGGTGCATGAAGTAGATTCCTTTTTGTTTGTTTTGTTTGATGCATTTATCAAACTGATATTGATAACGTTTGCATTTAATGACCACTAAGTTTATAACTGTTCCTTCAAGGGACACTTGAGAGGCACAAACACGAATTTGGGACAAGGATAGAATAATATGACACAATATGGATTCTAGATATTAAAAGAAAGACACTAAAGTTAATAAATGTATTCATTTCTGTTTCTGTCAATAAATGTGATTACATCTTATATGACTTGAGAACATTTTCATAAACAAAAGTTGTTGCCAGTAAGTCAAATGTCCAGAAAGTCATAGATTAATATAAACAAGCGGTTGATATGTGTGTGTGTGTGTCCTGCATAGCTCCTATGGTATTCAACACACCTCCAAAGGTATCTAGCAAATGTCAGCCCTATATCTACCTAACTAGCAAATGGTAGCAGTTTGAAGAATTCATTCTATACTGGCAATGAATCCCTAGTAATCTCTGAGTACTACTTTATTGAACATATTAGCTGATTATATTTTTGGTTGCATATTGTTACAGACTTGCAGTTTTGTCTGGGTTGAGAGAAGTCAATGACCGCCGCTTTGACAAGATGGTTATGATTTGAATACATGCTGACGAAGCATAGGGTTGCGCGAGAGACTTTGTTCTGGAAATCTAAAATGTTACCAGGAATATGCTGTTGTAATAGCTGAAGCTAATACTTTTGTTCCGGAGATGATATTACTTCCAAGCAAAAAAATCTTCTTTCAAAACATAGTGGCTATGGTACCTCGCAGAGACGCATGCTCTTCTCTTGTAGCTATTGGTTCTCACATTCTTAGATTTCCTATTGCCTCATTCTACTAGTTGCTCCTGGGCTCGCTATTCCAGCCTGCCTTATGATTGATTCTTCGTGAAGTTGTGCATCAACTAGTAAGTCAGTCAGTCTGATCAAATATTGGACACTTGATTTGATATCAATTGTAGTAATGTATCTGAAATAACTAGGGCATGTTAAGGAGTTCATCTCAGTTGTTATAGGCGATCCTGCAACCAAAGACTAGTAATCACCCATTATAAGAAAGATCCTTGTGGTTTGATTAAGATCGCTTTTTGAGTTCTTTTTGCAGCTTAACTTCCGTCATCGGTTTAATTAATAAACCAAGTCCTTATTTATATGTGCTTAGATGGATGATCATTGAGAGCTGTCAATTAAATTTCAAGGGGAAAAACATAAATAAATAAATAAATAAATAAATGGATTTGACAACGAGGGAAAGTAACAGATAAAAGCCATCATCCCAAATTATTTTGTTGCTCAGGAGGGGGATCGAAGAATTTGTTCCAGTAGATGTCGTAAGTACATCAGACTATTAACTTAACGAAATTGTGAAGTTCCAAAGTTTCAGTCAATAAACCTTTTTATATCTAAAATGTTTATTCGATTGCGATAGCTTATTAAGGGATTGATTGAGGGTTCGAAACAAATTTTACGCTCTTTTCTTTTTTAATCCAAATTTTGTACATCCTTCGCCGTCGCAGTTCCCCCCCTTCCCGGATCCCTCCTCCCTCTTCCACCTTTCGTCGCAGTCCCCTCCTTCCTCGACATCATCCTCCCCCTCCCTTCTTCTCCCTCCTCTCTCTTCCCCTCGTTCGTTGCAGCCCCCCGCCTCGTGGTACGTGGCAACACCCTCGACTCCACCCACCCTCTTCGCAGCTCCTCCCCTTCCCCGACACCATCCTCCTTCTCCCCCTTCGTCGCAGCTCCTCCCCCTTCCACGACACCCATTCTCCCTCTCCGGTTGAAAATCTTGATATAGTAGGTTATTGTATGCGATCTTGGCAATTGATGTGGAAAATCTTGATAGAGTAGGTTATTTTTTATATTCTCTGATTCCAGGTGACATGTTAGTTATTGGGTATGCTGATCATCCTTTTGACACCATTAATTTTAATCTCACATGTTTTCATTTTGTTATAAAATATTTTCCTAATTGCTTATTTCTTTTTTGCCCTTGTTTTCTGGAGGAAAGGAAAGCTATATAGTGTGGTAGGACTAGTAGATAATCTTCTCTTTAGAATATGGTATAGTTTATTTTCCTCTTTGTTTGACATTTCATTATGTTCTTGGTACCCGTCCTTTTAGGTTTTGATGTATGTGGTCGCCCAGTATATTTTTTTTATTAGAAGGTAGGCTTTATTGATTTACATAAGATTCTGTGGTTGGTTCTCTGCGACTTTAATTATTTATCTTGTGCTGATAACAAACTTGGTGGTCGAAATTTTTCGTATTGTTCCTCTATTAGATCTTATAATCAATTTCTCTCTAATGTTGGCCTTTATAATCTTGGTTTTATGGGTCCGAAGTACACCTGGTGTTATATCGCCAAGGTAGTCCTAGGATCTGGGTTTGTCTTGATCTGGTTTATGCAAACTCCAATTGGTTAAATGTGTTTGATAGCTCTGTTGTTAAGCACTTGCCTAGAGCTAACTCTGACCATTGTCCTATTTTATTATCTATTACCTCTCAACGCATGCATTCATGTAGAATTTTTAAATTTCATTGTTTTTGGGTTGAGTACAATAAGGTTCGTGACGTTCAACATGTTTGGAATGTTGATTCTTGTAGTGGGGTCCGATGCAGGTCATTTCGGGTAATTTAGGTAGGCTGAGAGGGTTTTTGTCCTTTTGGAATAAAAACTATCTTGGTGAAATTGAGGATGCCTTAGGTCCGCGACTTTTTTTGTCATTTCAACCCCTTCCTTTGCTTGTCTTATTAATGGTTTATCTTTTCAATATTTCAAGAGGGAGAGGGGTATCAAACAAGGTGATCCTCTTTCCCTTTATTTTTATATCATTGTGACTCAAATTTTGACTTATTTATTGAATGATTCTTGTGATAAAAAGTTGATCACTCTTTTCTGTTTTAAGAGAGAATTTAAAGTATGCCACTTAATATATGTGAATGATATCTTACTTTGCTTTTGGGCAAACGAACGGTCTTGTGATTCTAATAGACACATCTTCCATGTTTATGAGTCTCTCACTAATCAGAAAATCAATGTCTTTAAATCTGAAATTTTTTTCCCTAGGAAAACTATTAGGGGGGTGAGGCGTGAGATTTGTAATATGTTGTATAGAGAGGGCCAGTTTCCTTTGAAGTGTCTTAGAGCGTTGATTGCACCTAAGAGAGTTAGCAAGTCGGATCTTAATTGTGTTTTTCAATCGATTATTGACAAAATTGGGTCTTGGTAGGTAAATCTCCTTTCACAAGCTAGTCAGCTTATGTTAATTAATTTTGTTCTCAATTCTATTCTGTCACACACAATCAGTATTACTTTGATGCCTAATTCTATTCGAGATGGGGTATGAAGTCTATTAGAAATTTTTTGTGGGGTAAGAATACTGGTTTATGTGGTTTGCATCTCATTGTTTGGGATAAGGTTATATTGCCTAAGGATGACGGTGGTTTGGATATTAAAGATTTGAATATCATGAAGTCTGCTTTGCAGGGTAGGAGGATTCTATAGTATTTGAATAGGTCTAATGGTCTTTGAATCGATGTGGGTAGGACTAAATATGGCGACATTGATCCTTGGAATATTCACTATTCCGTAAGGATAGCTAGAGCTTGAGGTTTTTTTACGGGCCTTGAGAAATTATGGAATGGTTTTCCTAAATTCGTGAGTAGTGGATCTTCTATTAGTGCTTTTATCAATCTATGAATTCTGAATACTCCTTTTTGTTATACACCATCACTTTGTGATGTTTTCGAATTGCATGATACTTGTATGGTTTCTGATCTATTGATAGATAGATGCTAGAATGTGGATAAGTTGAACTATTGATTTGGGAATGTTTTGACTAGTGTTATCTGCCAGATTGATGTATCTCTTGTGCCACTTGATGAATTTTGACTTTGGCAGTCTGATGCGAAGGGTGTGATTTCTGCTAAATCTGCCTACAAGTATTTGCATTGCCAGGTGGGTTTGTCTATTGGACAGGAGGAGGGCTGGCGGTGTTGTTTGTGGAGGCTGCCAGTATTGCCTAGAATCAACGGTTTTTGCTGGAAGCTTCTGCACCGCCGCCTCCCTATGTCTGATAGACTTGCTCGCCTGGTAGTATGCAATGCTGCTTTGTATCCTTTTTGTTTGTTGGAATCTGAATCTATCTCTCGTAGCTTTTTCCTTTGTAATTTTGCGGCTGATTTATGGAGGACAGTGGAACAATAACTTGAGCTGAGATTTATATCCTATAATGATTGGCCGGAGGTTGATGTTGGGCGAAAGAGGGGTTGTTGTTGGGTGACAACGCTGGATTAGTGTTTGTGTCTATTGTTGCTACTACCCTTTGGTGGTTGTGGAGGGCTAGAAATGAGGCTGTTTTCAATCAGAAAAACTTTCCTTTTTTTTTATTTTTCAGAAAGTAGTAGCTTTAATCTCGGCTAGTGGCGAGGCCAAAAGACATGATGGCATTATTGAAGGTATACATCGCCAGCAGGTTAGGTGGTCTAAATCCCAAAATGGATGGGTGAAACTGAACTGTGATTGATCTGTTGGGTGTGATCAGGTAGGCGAATTGGGATTTGTCCTAAGAGATGACGCTGGTAATGCTATTGTTGATGCATGCAGGGTGGTGGAGCTGCCGGATATCTTGTACTGTAAGGCTGCTACGGTTAGTGATGGACTCAAAACTGATTGATAAATCTTGGTGAAGATTCTATGGAAGAGGAACCCAACTCTCCTTGGGGGCTTTAGGCAATTGTAATGCATGATATTTGGGGCCTTCTTCAAAGTTTTGATGTATTTGTCATTTCCCATATAGAAGATAGGGAGGGAAACGAGGTAGCCAACCAGCTTGTCAAGAATGTAAGGTCCACCAAATCTTGTTGTATTTGGAGAGGGGAGTGTCCCTCTCAGCATGCCCAGTTTTTCTATTTATCTTACTTTTTGTAATCGAAGAAGAGTTGCCATCGTAAGTTTGAAACTATTTGTAGCAATTGTTTCAATGTCTAGTGCTGCACCCAAACCAACTATGTTATTATAGAACGAGCAACATTCGAACCATAAGCATTTATGTGCATGGTGGTGGGATTCTATTCGAACAAGCATAGTGGAATCGTATGAGGGTTCCACTAATGGATTGTTTCTCTTTTCCGAGTGATCTATTTATTAGGTTTTTCTATTTTTTTTTCTTAATACAACACTTTAAACCGTCAACGTCACGTGCATAGTGTAGTCTTTTATTGGAAAAATCATAGTGGTTGCGTATGAAGCAAAATCCACCAGCAAAAGCACCGACCACCGCCGGTTCTCCTACCTGAGGTGATTCTCCTACCTTTCACACTGGTATGCATTGTTTCTTATTGTCTTTCTTCTGTGTGTGTTCATGTGCAACAACAAGTTGTGTTTTGGAAAAGCAAGTCTTTTACTTCATATTACTGAAACTGTTAGAATGTGTCTTATTGGCCAACCAACCTACTCTATTCCACATGTGGCTGAAATGCTCTATCCACTATCTTAGGGAAGCCCCAGGAGAAAATAAATGATAGAATATGCCAACCTACTACGGTTCCTCTATTATGTATATAAGGCGCTTGGGATAGCCATCGGACAATCGATCCGATCCTTCTTCATACATGTGATAGAAGATCGTAGCGGTGACAAAAATGATCGCCGCGCTGACTGTTTCTTTTGTAATTCTATTGATAGAATTTTCTGTTCAAGCCCAAGGTGGGTTGCAGAAGGGGTTCTATTCTTCCACCTGTCCCAGAGCGGAGGAAATCGTGAGGTCAACTGTCGAGAAGTACTTCAACAGCGACTCCACCATCGCCGCAGGCTTGCTGAGACTGCACTTTCACGACTGTTTTGTGCAGGTTTGCCTTCTTTCTTTCTTTTTTTTCTTAGTTGTTCTTACTCTGATAATAAAATCAATTTTGTGCACCGGCTAACAAATCCGTACCTTATATATGTACGTATGGTTTAATGTTTGGTTGCTTGTTGTTTCTTGAATTTACTGAGCTTAAATAAAAGTTCCGTAATGCGATTCTAGAGGTTAATTTGTAGTCAGACGATTTGGCGTGGTACAGCCGCCTTTGAATGCATCCATCGTCGCAGTCATCTGCTCATCCGTGGCATACTTTGTTTGCCTTGAAGGGTTGCGATGGATCAGTTTTGATCTCCGGGGCTTCTGCGGAGCGAAGCGCGGTGCAAAACCTTGGGTTGAGAGGATTCGAAGTTGTGGACGATGCTAAATCGGAGTTGGAGGCAACGTGCCCGGGAGTCGTCTCTTGTGCCGACGTACTTGCATTAGCTGCTCGTGATGCTGTGGATCTGGTGCGTTTGTCCTCTAGTAACTAAATAATTTACAGCAACAATACTTGGATTGAATTGCAGAAAAAAAATAAATTAATATTACCATGTTTGACTTGGTTTTTAATACCATGTAACTAAACTGTAGAGTGATGGACCGAGCTGGTCGGTGCCGTTGGGAAGAAGAGATGGTCTGGTTTCATCAGCTTCAGATGCCACGAGTTTACCGTCGCCGACCGATTCCGTAGCTGTGCAGAGACAAAAGTTTGCTGACAAAGGGTTGACGGATCATGATCTCGTAACGCTAGTTGGTAATCTCACTTGTCATTCACAGCTCTAAGTTTCCATACCAAATATGGAGCTTCCGAGATGAACAAATCCTTCTTGATCCTACCGATCTTGGTTATTATCCCTCTGCTTTCTCGTGTGCAGGAGCGCATACCATTGGTCAAACGGCTTGTGTGTTCGTCCGGTATCGGCTCTACAACTTCACAGCCACCGGTAACGCTGATCCTACAATCAATCAAGCCTTCTTGGGACAACTTCAAACGATCTGCCCCCATGATGATGGCGATTTTTCCAACCGAGTCGCCCTCGACAAAGGCAGCATGACTAAGTTCGACGCGAGCTACTTTAAGAACGTGAGGGATGGCAACGGAGTGCTGGAGTCGGACCAGAGACTCTGGGAAGATGACGCAACCCACGACATTGTCGGCAACTATGCCGGAAACTTACGCGGCCTCTTGGGTCTGAGGTTTGCCTATGAGTTTTCTAAGGCCATGATCAAGTTGAGCAGCGTTGGTGTCAAAACGGGGACAGATGGACAGATCAGAACGACATGCTCAAAATTCAATTGACAAGTGTACACACATATATATATATATATATATATACACTGAACTGAACAGAGACCGCTTTCAAATGTCTGAAGAAAGTATAGTGAAGAGGAGACTGGTCCCCGTTGGAGTGGGATATGAACTGGGTGGGTATCATATTACATGTTGACCAATAAATTTGTATTATATTAAAACGATAATAAATAAAGTTTCCCCTACTGAAGGAATTCTACAGGGATGCCTAAAAATTGGATCCAGCGGGTTTAAAAGTTGGGTTTCAAGAGAAAATGAAGATAAGCTTGGCCCCTAAAAAATCATGGTCCTCCCATAGAGACATGGAGTCGATCAATTTCTTAAGAGAATCGGAAGCAAAAGAAAAATCAGTAGATATGCCAGAAGAAGAACGGCCCAAACCCTAATGAAACTGAAGGGTATGAAATGAAAACCTTCATTCCTTTCTAGTGGTCTCCGCATAGCCGTATATGATATAAATCATAACAATAGTGTCCAAGTAATCAATATAAATCATAATAATAATAGTGTCCAAGTAATCAATAATTACTAATAAATAACTAGGTGGTCAAGTATGGCATCCCACCAATCAAAGATAAATTTAGAACTATTGCAGTCACTATTTATTATATATTCCCATATTTCGTCTGGAGATCCCGACGTAAGAAACAAAATAATCTGCTTAGTCGAGGCAGTCCTAGCAAATGAGAAGACGTACCTTTAGATGCCGGTTTACCACTCTTAAAAATATTCCCATCACGCCTGGAAACAAGGCATCAATCACCAAACAGCCAAAATTTAGACATTATTTGATCAAACCATTTGTTTCTAACCATTTGTTTCTCCTTGGACCAAAATCCCAGAATCTCACGCAAGAGAATTCGAGAAAATTCACTCCTCATGAAAGTGACCAGGAAAAAGGAACGAGGCTGATACTTGTAGACAGAAAGATACAGTGAAACCAACTTAGATGGTCATGAATTTAACCTCCTGACATTATACTTGCTATGTATGAATAATACAACATCAGTGTTAAATAATAAATATACTCTTGGAAGCTACGTCACCTAGCACAACCAGTTTCCTTCTTGGGTTATGTTCTACAAGCTAGTGAGCACTGCACTGCAATAAAAACAATAACCAAGTAATCAACAGCTAAAATACAGAATTTCAGTGCATCAGCAACAAGCAAGGATAAAATTGAGTACAAAAGACTGATGGCAAAGTTTCATAGTCCTTCGGTTGTAAATGTTGATCTCAGCATGTACTTGAATCCAACTTCACGGTGGCAAGGAGCCATGGTTGAATGATATTTTAACTCCAAAAATAGATCTAAATTTCAGAGTTAAATTCCTTTGAACTTGAAGCTACTCTCATGAAAGCTTTCTTGAATCATGATTGTGAGACCTTTTGGTACTCACTCTGGAGGTGATATGTGGACACCCGAGAAGACTAGCAAAGGCATAAATTAAAATAGAGAAGAGAGGTTGAAAAATTCAGGCAATTGTGCATGCAGTTTGCCACCAATATTAGTTGAACAAATTGCATTAGGCATCAAGGACAAAGTCCACAAAAGGGCACTGATGGATAAGCTTCCTACTGGAACAAAACAGAAAGTGAATTTGATGAACACTATTAGAGTAATACATGGTGAACAAAAGACACAGAAGCTAAAATTCTAATATCAGAATGACCACTACCAGCATCAACATATTATCAGAATGCTTAGGCAAGAAGAACCAATTTAGACAACAAACAGAAGACTGGATGCTTACAGATGGCTGTGCTCAATGGCCATGTCATTTGACTCTTTGGCAAAAATAACTGAATTTAACTTATCTATTCTATCCCATCTTTCTTAATTAAGGAAACCCAAGATTCTAATTGGTGAACAGTTAGTCTTCATAGATAAATAATGACTTTCAACTAGGTACAACTAACATCTTGAGATGGGATTATTTTTCTGATGTAATATTAACTTTTCAGCAACGAACCTCTCATATAATGTCATAGATCTGTTTGTTACTATTAGAAAATGATTCAGCAATAGTTTTCCATTTTTCGATCAGAAGTCAGTCGCAAGATTGTCAAGATTTGAACTCCATATTATCATAAAACCTTTGGATGATGAGATCACATCAGAGCAAGACCATCAAACAAAGTGCCTCCAAGACTGCAATGAATCATCTTCTTTAAAATCTCTAATATATTTGATCACGAAAATGTTAAGAACTCATCATTCCTGTAAAAGTGAGATACTAATAAGCCAAAGATGTAAAAGAAAAAGAAGATGCTGTGAGAGCAGAAGACCCAAAAGAAATTCTGATAGAAGAAATGGATACAAAGTTCTCATTAAAGACACTCTGACCCCAGAACAATTGTAAAGGACCTAATTGTATGATATACATATACATATATATATATATATATATATATATATATATACTATATATATATATATATATACATATATATATATATATAC